AAAAAAACATTTTTTTTGTTAATCTTTTATTTTAATTTTTTAGGAACTTTTACAGCATAAAGCTTTTGCCTGAGAAGACCCCTAGTATAATTTTCCGAAAAATAAGAACGAAAATATTTTACTACATTTGTCTTAACCTTTAACTTCATTCAGAAATTTATTTTAACCATTTCTTCCACTTTTTTGAAAACTACTTAGGCCGAGACATGAAAACTTTAGTAGGCCATAAAATAACAAGTAAGAAAGCCTTAGTTCGGGCGGATCCGAACAATAAATACCCGGCGCAAGGATTAGATATATGATTTTAACCTTTCCGAAAGCTACCGCTAATAGTATCAATTTTGAGTAAATTAGCGTCCTTACATTTCGAAACATTGATGTTTCAAGCATTTCTGAAATTTTAGTCCGATTTCAATAATTTTCAACGTTTTGCTTTTAAGTGGTAAGCACAATAAAAATACCGAGTTTGGTACAAATTGGTAGAACGGTTCCCGAGATACATATATGTGATCATAAGTGGGCGGTGCCATGTCCATTTTCCAAAATTTTATCATAAACCTATTTCTTGGTAAAGAATTGTTGCAATCATCAATTTTGAATAAATTAACTTTAATATTTACTGATTTATCGAAGATTTCGTATTTCTCTAAATTACCATTATATGGGATGTGGGCGTGGTTATTGTCCGATTTGAAAAATTCAATTGCTGTAATTAAGCCAATAACTGTGCCAAGTTTGGAAGAAATTCGTGCAGCGGTTACCAAGATATATACATGTAACCATAAGTTGGCGGTGCTACGCCCATTTTCCAAAAATTTATAACATTCTTATTTTTCGTCTAAAAATTATTGTAAATATCAATTTCGAGTGAATAATCTTCAGTAGTTACTAAACTATCGCAGTTTTCGTATTTCTAAAAATTACCGTTATATGGGAGGTAGGCGTGGTTATTGTCCAATTTTGCCCATTTTCAATACCATCTATCCTACGCCCGAAAGAAGTGAACGTACAAAGTTTCGTTAAGATATCTCAACTTTTACTCGAGTTATCGTGTACACGGACGGACGGACGGACAGATAGTCACCGCTTAATCGATTTCTCTATTCATTCTGAGCATATATGTATACATTTGTCTATATCTATCTCGATTCGTTTTGCCTGTTACAAACAACCGTTATGTGAACAAAGTTATAATACCCTTGTGCACAAGTGCGCTCGGGCATAAATATACGAGCAAGCTTTTGCAAATCCATCGAATGTTTTATTACTGGATATGTATGCTTTCATAAAATATTAGCAAAGTCCTGGCTGGTTTTAATTGTCATAAAATTATCGCAGCGTACATTTACCAGCATTTTCTTGTTTCAGCATGTGCTTTGATAAGCGAAAAATATGGATAGATTCGTGAAAATAACTGAAGAAGATAAATATCTGATACTGAATGAAGTAAAATAACTGACATTGAATGAAATAAATATGTAGCTCTAAAAAAAATCGAAGTCTTTCCTTCTGATTCATATGAAGTTTTTCTTATCTTTAAAAACGTAAAATATTTTATTATTTATTTACATCAGCGATGGGCAAAGAGAGCTTTTACTCTGCACTCGCCAATGAAAATGTATAGAAATCTTAAAAGAGCTTTTCCCGCGTGCAAGTTGGTGCTCATATTTACATATGTACATATCGAACCCTAATTGAAAAAAAGTAAACGAGATTTTTTTTCATAATTTTTGTTGTTATGCAGATATGATAGAAAATTAAATTTGAAAAAAAAATCGTTTTTGTTTTTTTCGGTTATGGCTCATGAGGATGTATATGTACATGTATTTAATGTCGTCGACCGTGAAACAAAAGTGCTGAAAATTCCAATTTCATCCGTCGACTATAATTAACACACGAAATAGTGCTATAAAAATTCTATAAAACGAGCTACACCATTCAATGTTTAGTACGTTTCTTCTTAAAGCTAATTGATAAGTGAGGATTCATGTTATTTAAAAACGTGATTGACTGAACTGAACCGAACTTTCAAAAGGGTGATTTTTTCAAAAACTTTGTTTTATCACTT